TATATAATATATATAAATTATATATACAGTATAATATATAATTATATAATATATATAATTTATATCAAAAACAAGGATGGATTTCCAACTGGGCAAACCGCCCTGGGACTCCAAACTCCCAGGGGCTCCCGAAGCCTCCAGGTTTCCCTTTGTGGCAATATCTTTGTAGTAAATGTATTGTCCATGTGTTTGTTGATACTGTATATGCACCACTAATTCACATTATGAAGGCAATTTATAGGGGCCTTAAAGTGATAGTTCAGGTTATTTGACGTGGGGTTGTGTGAGGTAGTTATCTACAGTCAGTGTGTTACCTGCAGTAGGTTCAGATCAGCGCTCTGCCAGTTTAGAGAAGCAACAGGAGCACCGGCACAGGACCTGAGTGATGAGCTGCTGTGGACGTGTTCAGCAAAAGAACGTGTTTTAGCCGCTTAAGAAAAATAAAGAAAGCTGATATCAGTTGAAGTTTATACTTTGTTTTGAATATTTTCCCTGCTTTATCTTACCGTTATTCAGGCCTTTCCTTTGGAACTGCAGTTTGTGAACCGCTGAACTACTGAGCACAAGCGCACCTACAGTGCATACTCTATTACTCCGCAGATCAGCTGCTTGAGATGGAAAGAGCTAAACTTAGGTCACTTCAATGGTTGAGAAAATGTAGATAAAGCAGTGAAAATATTCAAAATAAAGCAATATCAGCCTTTTTCTGTGGGCTTTTTTTTTTTTTTAAAGTGGTGTATGTGTATACTATAGATAAGTACCTCACACAACCCCACGTCAAATAACCCCAACTATCANTTTTTTTTTTTTTTTTTGTTTGCTGGACAAGAAGCTAAGAATTAATCCACATTACACAATGGAGGAAAAGCTGTTTGATTGTTTGGTGAGTTGAAACGCTGCTCACAGTATGTGTGAACATTTGTCATGTGACCACCCTCCACAGGGTTTTAAATACACCTCCCTCATGTAACGTTCCTTCAATCAGCCCGATGTGTTCAAGGTGTTTTGTAACTTCTGAATGAGGCACTCGAGTGTCGAACGTAACGTTTTGTCCCAAAGCTACATGAGCTGATGTAAAGATTCACAGTGCAGTCTCTTGCAATACTCTGATAGTGGATTAAAACACAAACTATGACCTTAGATAAATGGCAGAATCAAAAATTATATATATAATATATAATTATATAATATATATAATTTATATCAAAAACAAGGATGGATTTCCAACTGGGCAAACCGCCCTGGGACTCCAAACTCCCAGGGGCTCCCGAAGCCTCCAGGTTTCCCTTTGTGGCAATATCTTTGTAGTAAATGTATTGTCCATGTGTTTGTTGATACTGTATATGCACCACTAATTCACATTATGAAGGCAATTTATAGGGGCCTTAAAGTGATAGTTCAGGTTATTTGACGTGGGGTTGTGTGAGGTAGTTATCTACAGTCAGTGTGTTACCTGCAGTAGGTTCAGATCAGCGCTCTGCCAGTTTAGAGAGGCAGCAGGAGCACCGGCACAGGACCTGAGTGATGAGCTGCTGTGGACGTGTTCAGCAAAAGAACGTGTTTTAGCCGCTTAAGAAAAATAAAGAAAGCTGATATCAGTTGAAGTTTATACTTTGTTTTGAATATTTTCCCTGCTTTATCTTACCGTTATTCAGGCCTTTCCTTTGGAACTGCAGTTTGTGAACCGCTGAACTACTGAGCACAAGCGCACCTACAGTGCATACTCTATTACTCCGCAGATCAGCTGCTTGAGATGGAAAGAGCTAAACTTAGGTCACTTCAATGGTTGAGAAAATGTAGATAAAGCAGTGAAAATATTCAAAATAAAGCAATATCAGCCTTTTTCTGTGGGCTTTTTTTTTTTTTTAAAGTGGTGTATGTGTATACTATAGATAAGTACCTCACACAACCCCACGTCAAATAACCCCAACTATCACTTCAATGCAGCACCTGCATTATTGGACATCATGTTTTGGACATCATTTCATCCCTTTATTTGACAGGACAGTGTAGAGAGACAGGAAATTGAGGGATGAAGAGAAGGAGAATGACATGCAGCAAAGACTGAGGTCATCAGAGGTCAACCAAGGACTCGACCGCTCAGAGCATCTGCACCCACATGGTATATGCCGTAACCACTCTGCTATCGAATCGCCCTTACCTTATATTGAGACCCCATATTAAAGAAGGCCCCTGATTAAAATCTAGTTTTGTTATTTCTGTATATATTGTGTTTTATTTCTGCTTCACGAGCAACTTAACAGCTGCTGAAAACGTTTTTTTCTGCAGTGATGTACAGGTGTACTCCAGGGCGTGTCTCCAGTGCACCGTGACATCACTGCAGTGGGTGGGCAGATAGCACCTTACAGGCCCTCCAACAACAATATTTTTGTATTTTCAAACACAAGACTCACATTAATCCCAGTAAATATGACCTTGTAACATCTAATACCTCTCGCACGTGAAGAGAAGCATGCACTCTGAAGCTACTGAGCCGTCTTCTGTAACAGAGAGGTGCTTGACCAGCACATGGTGCCGAAATCAAGTCTGATAAACCTCCCAGAAAAATGACACAGACAAAACAATATAATCCTCTTTGTTCACATTTCAAACACAGATTTTAATGCCACAGCTTCAGCCTGATTTACCAGAACAGAGTGTTTCTCACATATTCAAACAGGCGGCGATCGAACTGAAATGTTGATGATTTATTTCTTACTGCTTTCATTCACAACTGAAGCAGGCCTGATTATGTGGATAAACCCTCAATTATATCATCAGTCTCTAAGTCCAACATAGAATATAGATATAGAAGAGACATAGATGTACAGATATGGCATATACACTCATGTATATGTATTTTGGTCCAAGTTTCTGTAACTTTATTCGACCTGAGTTATGGATGGGAAAAACATCTACCCTCAGATACAATCCTAGAACTAAGAGTTATAAAAATCTGATTTATTCTTATAAGACTTAAAAGAAATAAATGCACAGGCCTGCATTCTCACTCTGCCTGTACGGCCTTGGCCCGCGGTTGAACTTGCTGACTCCTTTCTCCCAGAAGTTGATTTGATTATTTAAACAAAATTTCTAAAATGATAGTTTTTTCCTCTTGAAAAGAGTTGAATTAACCATGTAGATTAAACTGTAACATCCATTGGAAGGTTGCTGTTAAAGCTCAGGCTCCTGTCTGGACAAAGCACCTACTCGCACTGACTCACTGAGTCCTCTAGGGAGCAGCGTGTGACTGCAGTCTCGGCTCAGTGGTTCCGGTCCTGGCCTCGGACTCCCATGTGCTGTTGTGTTAGGGTTTCCTGCTGTTCAGGAGTGTGTGATTTAAATCAATATAAATGAATTAACTATTCAGTAAACTGCGAATTTATTATAACACCATAAAATGAAAAATGTTTCTGCACACTGACTAAAACACTTGATAGCAATGTGATGATTTTTATCTGCTGTGGTGTCTTAATATATTAAAAATATTCTTTAATATTCTGTTTATTTGTCTTTACAATTTAACTTCTTCTAATATTTTAATAATATTTTAAGTCCCAGAGTATTTCCCTCTTCCCTCTGTTCCTCTAGTTTTGTTTGAGAGACCTCTAGACCCGTGCACACGCACAAACCCACGCCCTGTGAAAAACTTTACGCAGCCCTGATTGGTGCAGACACAGCCACCGAGGGCGGAGCAACGCAGTGATTAATTAGCATACCTATCCAGGCTCATAAATGTACCGGCAGCCTCACCTGATGCTTCTGAGATCATCCACCACACAGAAGTTCAGAGGGAGCGCGGGTTCAGTGCATGGCACGAAGCTCAGACAAAAGTAAAGCTCAGATCAGACGGAGTAAAATCCGGCCAGTTCACCCACCTCACAGAGACGCGCACAGGTCCGGGCACCGTCTACAGTCTGTGCGTAAAAGCGCACAGCCAAAACGGAACTTTGCGCTTTCCCAGGAAAAGGCTTCCCTCCTCCTCCTCCTCCTTCCTCCACTTCTCTCCAAGCTCAGCGGTGGTTTGAGACTTCCCCGTTTGTGACTCTCACACCCGGTTCTGCTGAGTTGTGGCCGGTCCGATCCAGAGCCCCGGGTCACCCATGAGGCTGGAGGCCGCAGCCAGGATGGATCTGTTCAGGAAGCTGTGGAAGGCGAGGAAGCTGATCGTCGTGGTGTTCATCCCGCTGTCCCTGCTTCCCTTACCGCTCATCCACCCCACCAGCGTGAGTAAAGGACACGAATAACAGATGGATTTTATTATCATTATAAGCACAGTAACAGAACAGGAAGTTAAGGGAAGAATACTAAGAAACAAGTTTAACTAGTTGTCACTGAAATGGAAATATATGACTGTTCTACTGGAAATCAAGAACATATAAGTCAGTTAACTTTCCATATGGAGAACAATACATTCCATACCAATAGATAGACACCGAGGTCACACAATAGTATTATACATGCTTAATGTTCCAGTGTGTGTTAGTGTAGGTTACTGTAGTGGTATGACATAGATACCACAAGACAACAATAACAACAACTATAACATACATTAAAGTACCATACATGCTATATACATAATAATGATGCTTTTTATTTCAACATTTAAAAAGAGTTATTGAGTCGTTAATAAATATGAGAAAACAACGTAGTTTAGGTTTAATAAATACCTAGAAAACAGCAGTAAACAAAACCTCCAGCTGATGTGTTGATGTCCCTCCTGGCTGCTGCTAATGGTTGTAGTGTCCTGATGGGATTTTGGTGTGTGTGTGTGTGTGTGTGTATGTGTGTAAGAGAGAGAACCAGTCAAAAGCCACTCTGTCTTCTGTTTTGATGAATGCTTGTCCTGAGCTGTCCCGATCATCAGCTGATCTGTGTGTGTGGAGAGGAGATGTCGCGACATGTTGATGAGATGGAGATCAGGAAGAGAGAGAGAGAGAGAGAGAGAGAAAAAACTTGACTCTCATTTAGGCTCATGAATTGTTTCTCTTTATTTTGCAGCTCAAGTTTGTTTTTGGAAAATTTCCTCAGACGAATGAATCTGCACAAGAAACAATAGGATTATCTCAATCTGCACAAATCCAATCTGTACAGGCGTCACCTTTTTTTAAAAAACGTTTGTCACTGTGTGTTGCCAAGACTCAGAGACGCTGCTGTCTGTGAGAGTAAATGTTGAGTAAAGTTTAGCTGCAGCGTGACACTGTGAGTGTCTGACAAACTAAACTCGACTAAACTAACAGAGACTATGAGGTTGCAGTTTGGAGAGTTTGAGGCGTGAGTTTCTTTGTTGTGTCAAACTCTCAGATCCAGGAGTTGTACTGTTTGTAGGATTGTGGATTATGTTCGGTGACGCTCAGACCTGTGTGATTTGTCTGGTTTACAAACTTGTCAACATGCTCTCGTGCCAGATTCCACTATATCCTGTGAAAAAGCACTGAGTGCCGTGTTCATCGTGTCCTGAGAAAAAGCTCGACCGGGTTTTCTGGCACCACTGACAAACGTGGTGATGAGGAGCAATAGCTTATGATCCGAGTGATCCAGTTTGTGCCTCCCATGGATTACCATCACATTAACATCATCTTTGACAAACCCAGAAGGTGATTATTCCTGTTCCCAGAATCCTCAGACTCTTTAAACCACCTGGAAAAAAAGATAGTCCTCCAAAAAGCAAAGATTTTTAACCCTTGTGGAGGGAAATGACAGCTCAGTTTGTGCAATGTGCACCAAGATTTTAAGAAAAAAGAGATTATCGGTTATATTGGTATAAACTGATGTTTCTCCCTTTTATTCTATGGTTTAATTCAAGACATACCACGATTAGTGACCAGAAGAATTCACAACGATTTTATCACGATATCTATAGAAAATTTGAAAATAATAATAATAATAATGATGCTATCAGTCAAATTCATCTTTAACTTTGTTTATTGTGTGTTTTCTCTCTTTCTTAGCAAATAAATTAGACTCAAATACCAGTGTGGCGAGGTGGAGAGAGAGAGAGAGAGAGAGAGAGAGAGTCTGTGACCACAACTGTATAAAAGTGAACAAACACAACAATTACACTTAATGGAAAGTGAAAAGGCAAAAAAGATGATAAACAAAAGACCCACGATCCCAAACATCTAACACGCGTATTATTAACACAATATCAGTATTTCATTTTTCAAAATATCACAGTTATCATCAACATCAGCACATCGCCTTCAAAATAAAATAAATATTAATTTTTACAAAATGAGCGTCTGGCTCAGCTGAAAGGATTCACATGATTTAAGTTTAAGCTTATATAAATGAATTTAACATGTGTGTTTGTTTTGGCTCATGTTCTTATAAATAATAAAGCAGTCACATGTTCATTAACACGCTGTTAATATTAACACTTAGCCGTGTAGCTTTTCAACACGTGCTAAATAAGGAAGCAGCTAAACATGTAGTAATGGTATTAGTGGTGACAGGTGTGTGTTAATGTGTTGCATATGAGCTCCTCTGCGTCACAGGCGTTTGTTTCTTATAACATGATTAATATTCAGAGCGAGTGTTATGTGCTGTCACGTTGTCCGTCAGCTCTGACGCCCAGGAGCCCTGCTGTTATGTCAGGGCTGGTGGGTGTTTGGCAGGAGCAAGGCGGCGCAGGATGAGGCCAAGAAAGAACAAAAGAACAAAAACTTCACTACAAAGAAAAAGAAAGAAACAATCCAAGCAATTAAGTTATATAATCAACCTACCACCATGCTGGATTTTGGCCCCCACATGGCTTGCTTACCACACCAGGGACCCCAGACTGTGTGAGGAATGTGACAGGGTGACACTGTGTGTGTGTTTGGAGTGGTACTGAGTCCAGCTGCTACGGGACAGAACATCTGCTGGATGCAGTCAGGCCAGGACAGAGACAGAGAGCCAATTGGCAGATATCAATAATGTCATGCAGAGTCACGCTTGTGCCATTTTGCATCCCCAGGAAGACGGATGTAGTTGTGCTCGCAGCGTGGCTCTGGGGTTGGCAGTGACAGTCTTAGTCCTCCACTGAAATATCTCAACATCTGTTTGATGGAGTGACAATAAGTTCTCTATATCCATGTTCCCCTGAGGATGAATCCTACCGATGACTTTTCTCGGGAATCAGCAGGAGGTTGATATTTGTAGTTTTCGGATAAAGTGGCTGCACAACTATTGGATGGATTGTCATGAAATGTTGTGCAGACATCTGTCTCCCCTTCAGTATGAGTAGTAATAACTTCACTTAACTTTTTATCTATCACAAAAGGTCAAGATTTCTATGTATCCAATACTGTGGTTTATGACAAAATACCTGCAAGACTAACAACATTCCCATCAGCCTCAGCTCTACTTAGTGTTTAGTGTTTACCTACTCGATACCTGAACTTGTGTATCAGCTGATACCGTGTACTGATCCGGTACCATTCACAGCCGTATACTACTGATATGATTGCAGTCGTTGTTGTGTGGTACGGTTCAGATTAAGTCCTTTGTAAAACACGAACAGATGCATGAATGATAGAATCTTTCTTTTATTATCTAATTTGACCTTCAGTCATAAAGCAATTCAATAAATTGATTAAAAAAAAAGATAAATAACTCTAGGAATAAATAACACTTCCTACACTAGTGCCATCCCTCAGATTTTAAACCTTGCATACTGCACACGTTTCCTTTGGACTTCCCAGTGTAACCTGTTGCGAAGTTGCTGACATTTTGCTAACGGTTAACGTTAGCAGGAATCAATTCTTCTTTGGCCCTAAAACAATAGTTTCCAATGACAACATAGCCCAACTTCCTGCGTGAGCTACTGCTTTAGAGCACCGAAGAAGAATTGATTTCTATTTTGATTTTGAATATTTTTTTATTTTTTAGATTATTAATAAATGACATGGTATCAGATCAGTGCAGAGACTCGCATATTCACAGATACCTGATACAGTATTTTAAGCAGCATCAGAGGCTGATTTCTGATAAAGAATAAATTCTGATAAATATACATTTTAATTTTCACTGTGTTTTACTGACACATGTGAAGACGTTTGTTACCAAAGAATAAAAGAAAATAGAGGGCAAAATAAAATAAAACACTGTTGATTATTATAGAGACTGGTTGTAAGAAAGGAATTATGAATTAAAGGGAATCATCATATATCTCTTCATATGTTATTATTATAAGATGTACATCTAGTCTGATCAGAAACTCTGTAGGTAAATTGCTTATACTAATACATTAGTTACTTGCTATGTTATAAGTTTTTCTGTCCTCCACCAGCACAAGTTTTTCATCATCAGACAAGGTCATTAAACCTGGAGGAGCATTTTCAAAACTATACTAATATTTAGATTTAACTTTGTTAAAGCGACCTCGCCCCCTCTCTCCACCTTCTTCTCTGTCTCACTACCTCTCCCTCTATATAATATATCAGTGAACCAATCAGGTGAGGGTCAGGCCCTGTCTCAGAGACACATTCATATTTATGTAGCTACACTGTCACTGCACAAAAGAGAAACATGAAATGAAAGTATTTTAGCTTCATTTTCCGTCTTTAGATTGGCTGCCAGTGTTATGAGATTTTTCTTTGCTACAAATTAGTTGCTGTGAGACAAAATACATTTTGCAGAGCAGAAACCTTTTAAAATATTGCCTAACGTGCTAATACACGATAGTTTCACTAGTTTACATAGAAAAATCTGTGGAAATCATCTTAAAAACAAACAAAATAATGCAGACTGCTATTGCTGAATGCTGCTGTTTTTGATATTCATGAAATATTCTAAGGTTCTACTTTGTACCAGAGTACTAAACTAAAGCTGGCTTTGTGTGTACATCTGTCTGCATTATGTGTACAATACAGATTGTGTGTGGGTGTGTGTGTGTGTGTGTGTGTGTGTGTGTGTGTGTGTGTGTGTGTGTGTGTTATCTGTCAGTTGAGTCCTCTGCTGATTGGTTCAGTGAAGTTTCTTCCAGAGCAGCTGTGACCCAATCTGTCTATCAGGAGTCTTCAAGCCACTGTGTGTTTTTTTCTAAATACCAATCATCTCCATATCCCGAGCTGAGCACAGATAACAGGCAGTTGATGAGACAATCAATGGGCTGGACTGTTAAGACGTGGAGGCAGAAACTCTCCTGTCAGCTGTAAAAAAAAACAACAACTCAGGGTTTGAGGAAATCTTCGCTCTCAGCTGAATGGACCTTTCAGGTCATGCAGATACTAGACCCTCGTGT